TTGCCAGAGAGAAGATTTAAAAAAGGCCTTTAAAAAGATTTTTGGAAGCGATTTTTTTCAAGCATCTGAAAGATTTGCCAAGAAGTCCACTAATTTATTAGAATATGACGAAACCAAATTTTTCAACCCTTATGTCGTTAGGTACCGAGCATTAAGTAGCAAGGTTGAATTAACCGAATTATTTCAAATCCTCTCTCATATTAGTAAATACCGCGGCTACAAAGAGTTTTATCTTGATAATAGTCTTGAAGAAAAAGATGAAGAGACCAAAAAGACCTATGCGGCAGTTGGAGAAGCAAAAAGGTTATTGCAAGAAAATAACTACTGTTCGGTAGCAGAAATGGTAATCAAAAATGAAGAATTTCGTCATTCTCAACATAAAAATCTTCTCTCTGCCCATAACCACAATCCAGACAAAGATTACAAAAACAAAGAAGAAATAAAAAAAAATCACAAGCATTTTATTTTTCCGAGAGAAAAATTAGAAGAAGAGGTCAGAAAAATCCTAATTGAACAAAGTAAGCATTACTCCCAACTGCCTAAAATATTTGAAAAAAGTTTAGAAATTAATAGAATAAGGGAAACCAGAACCGATATTGAAAAAATAATTTTTCGTCAAAGAGATTTTGAAGATGGCCCAACCAAGATTGAACCTAAAAACCAAGAGCAAAAAGAAATTATTCACTGAAAAAAACATAACCGAAATACTACTTTTGTTCCTTTCACCAAAGCAACTGGCTATTGCCAATATTTTCCCACCGAAAGGAGAGGTTGGCGATGCTCCCTTATTTATTCTTGTTATCAATTTATTAATGAGTTTTCCAAAATTAGTAATTTAGGAGAAAGGGAATTAGGAGGAATAGAAAAAACGAAAGAAATTCATCAGCAAGTTTTTGAATGACTGCTTGCTCCCTCTGGTTATCAACCTAAAATATTGAGCCGAGAGGAAAAAGAAAAAGGCCAAAAAAGAGAAACCTTGCGAAAACAATTAGAAGCATTTCTTAATAAATTAGTAGGAAAAGGCAATTATAGTCTTCCCAAAGGAATCGAATTTGAAACAGATTTTTTGGATTACTTAAAAGAAAATAGCAGTTTTTACTCGGTCTTATGAAAAAACTGTCCTTCCGAATTTTACTTAAAACTCAAAGATTATCAGAAAACAATTTTTTATCAGATCGGGCAAATAATTTTTGAAAAGATAACCCCTCAGCGGAGAAAAAATGAACTGGATAATTTAAGCCAAAAGAATAGTTTAGATACATTCCAGGATTGTTTAAGCAAGCTAGAAAAGTATGACAAAAAGAGGTCCCCAGCGGCAGTTTCTTTTTGCTATATGACCGAAACAATTAAAGCCTTTTTGAATGGTCAGAAATACGGGGAATTTCAAGCGGAGGCTGAAAAAGAATTAGAAGAAAAATTAAAAACAGCAAAAATAGCAACCAAGGCAAAAAAAATTTGGACTCCTTGGATGCATCCTGATTTAGTAAGAAATCCGGTAGTTTTTCGTAGTTTTAACCAGACCCGCAAAATTCTCAAAAATCTTTTTCAACGTTATCCGGGCGGATTTGCTACCATTAATATTGAAACCGGCCGAGACTTATGAAATTCGGAAGAAGAGAGAAGTAAAATTGAAAGAAAAAACCAAGATCAGGCTCAGGAAAAAAAAGACATAGTTGAAAAACTGAGAGATAGCAATTCTGATATTAAAATTAATGAAGAAAATATTAAGCGGTATCGTTTGTGAGAAGATCAAAATGAGAAACTTTGAGCAGGAAGAAAACGAAAGAAAAAACCCACTATTAAAGAAACCACCAACCCAGGAGGAATTTGCCTCTACTGCGGCCAAGAAATTAATGTATGAAAATTGAAAGTCCAAAAAAGGTCGTCTCGGGAAATCAAAAACCGCAACCGGGAATTAGGAAGCAAAAGTAGCACAATTTGAC